GTCTTGTGGCAGGTTTGACTCAGATTTGAGTCCTGATTAGGCCAGATTCTACTTTCCAGTGCCTGTTACAACCTCAGTGTGACTGGGTCTGTTGAGGGAGCAGTGGAATAGAAGTACCATTATTTTCCATTTGCTACTAAGAAATATCTTTTATGATACTATTTACTCATACCGGTTTCATGTTTGTATTGTACGCCTCACTGGTTAAAAGCCTTTTATAATCCTTTTTATTTATTTTCTTGGGAAACCAGCTCTGCTGTCAGATCAGATTCTCCGAGTAGCACTCAGCACATTTTGATGACGTATGACACATTTGACTCTGTTTATAATTATCAATTTTCATCCTCTCTTTATTATCAGAGCAGCCGCAGAGTTGCCCAGGAGACACAAGTGTAAGCTCACGCTCATCTGCTATGGGTGATTAGCATGAGGAATTACTGCTGGCAGCCGATCAGTGAAGTGTCCAGGTGGTTGCAGGCGGGTTGACACCAATGAAGGGATTTTGAGAGGGTCAGTGCTTCAAGCTCAAGAGTTTTGTTTGTTTTTATGTTTTTGCAAAACAGCAATAAGTTTGTTGTGTAAAATCTAACTATTATGTTAAAAGCACATTTTCATGTATCTCCTTATTTAAACACACACACACTGCTCTTGTGCCCAATTCTACGTGCACATGACAACATTGAATAAGGTCATTTATCACATACACAACAGAACAATGGGCTCTGCTTTGTGAATCAGGGTGCACGGCACAGATCACCATTAAGGTGTGTGGTGCCCCCGGTGCACGGGCTTTGTCGACCTTGAGGCCAAGCATGTCATATCTGTCACATTCAGGCTTTTAATGTCAGGCCTCCCGCGCTCACACTGACAGGAATCCTGTGAAGAGTTTTCCTCAGAGGAAACTTATTGTTGTCTGGGACATGCAGAGTTGAAAATATAAATTTAGCAACTCAGATCCGCTGCCAAGAGCAGATGGTGACACATAAAGCTGAATTCTCTTTCTGTCCATGGTGAGGATCTGACAGTCTCCATGTTTCTGTGTGTAGTAGGACTGGTGCTGTTGCATTTAACTGAGGAACACTGTGTGTGCTCCAAAGGTTGCTCATGGCTTGTAGCACAGAGGATTGTTATCGAGCAACTCAAAAAACGGACTCTGTGTGTGTGTGTGTGTGTGTGTGTGTGCTCCTTGATGCACTTTACTCTTCCAGTTTATTTGGAATTAACTAGGGATGCCCTGATCCAGGTGTTTGGCCCAGATATGGATCCGATTCCTCTAATCCTACCTGCCAGTTCCGACTCTGATCCAATACTTATATTTAGGTATATTTTCAGGACCTCCTTGATCAAATAATTACATTTATTATCTTAAATTCTTGATGTGACCAAAAGAATAACCGCGAGCTGGACAATGCACTCTCAGAACCACAGATTCATTATAGGGCAGACATAACTACTACTTTGTTTCCATATATGAACACACAGTTTGTGTAACCCGCCCAGTTTAGATATCCCAGTTTAACCATTTGATAACACTGCCTTAACAAAATGTGACGGCTGTCATAGCACCACTGGACAAAAGCATAAAACTAGACAGACTTTAATAGACCTGCCATGTTCAGCTGGTTTGATGTAACAGAGGATAGATTGTGTGTTTTGACTCTTTGTACTTGATGTATTTCAACATTTTGGTGGCGTTCTGGTTGGAGCTACTGTGCTTTCATTGTTTTGGTGGATTCTGTGGAGCGGTTTATGCACGTAGCTCCGAAAAAATAGACTTGAAGCTGAAAATAGGCTTAATTTCATGGCTACAGACGTAAAGCATGAGTGATATGCCAGCAGACAGGCAGGCAGTGACACACACGTATCAAAAACACAAATGAGTCTGCTCCAGTAGAAGACTGTTCTTCTAAATAAGGACCAGAATTGGACCGACCCTGTTCTGGCCGATGCCGATCCTGTGAAATATGTCTGGATCTCTGCAATACAATAAATAGAGGACAGCTCTGGAATTAACTGAAGCACACTGCGTAGTTAGTTGTTACCAGGAGCAGCAAAAGCTGCTGTTTGAACATAACAAAGAAAAGAAGTACAAAGAAACTTGCAAACAGTCGAGTACAGTTTTAAATGTCAGTTGGATTTTGTTATGAAGGTCCCAGAGGGCAGGTTTTCGTGTTCTCCTCACCGCAGTGTTCGCTCCAAAAGCCGTTTGCTCTTGTTTTACCTTGGTCACACCACTTTTTGAGTTATGTTACAGTTCACTCTGCTCTTTATGTACTTTTCTTTGTCTGTCCTGTTTTTCAACTGATCATATTTGATCTTGAACTGATGAAATAGCTGTAAATGTACCTGTTACATCTGCTTGGCATCTGTGTTGTGAAATCGACAGCTGGTTGCTAAGGACGACAGATACCAGAGAGAAGTGTGTGGTTTATGTTTCATGTTTTACTGCTTGTAACCAGCGTGTCCATCCAGCTAACCACTACCATCCTGCACTTCATTCATATCTAATTTAAATTACTCTTTTTCTCCTAATCCACTACGGTGTGATGTGCTGCTCCACATCAGAAGATGCAGCTGTCCTTCCTTCTTGTTAGTGTGCATGTTTCAGTGTGCTGTCACAATAAAGATGTGAAAGATCAGGACTGTTTGTGTTTTATCAGCTTAGAAATACTGTGTTGAAATTTGACTTTGGTGAAGACCAGATAACATTTCATGACCAATTTATGAAGAAAACCAGGAAACTGCAAACAATGCTATGACTTGTTCTTATGACTGTATTTGCAATAGTCAGGAAACCTTCAGCTAACGTACTGCTATGTTGTGGCGAGGTGCATTTTCAACTCTGTGGGAAGTGTCTGAAGTACTTTATATTAACATAGCTGCATACACACCAGTAAGCAGTTTGCATTTTGGATTAACTTGCCAGTTGTTTTCTTCTGGTCTATAAAATGTCAGAAATTTTTAAAAATGTCAGTCACAATTTCATGAAACTGCACATCTGCTTGTTTGACCAACAGTCCAGAACCCAGAGATATTCAGTTTACAGTCCTCACAACTGATAAGCTGGAATTGAGTAATGTTCATTGTTTATACTGAAAAATGTCAGTCAGCTAATCATTTAGTGGAGTCGTATTTTCAGCCCTACAAGTTCAAGTTACACGTGAGTTTGTAATAAACTCAGTCAGGAAGACTCAGTCAAGTGTCACCTGTATGAACAAATGAATGTTCTTCTCTCTGCATCCTGAGACTCTTGTTTGTTGTTCTTGTCAGGTAAAGGTGACGTGTTTGGTGATGTCTTCTGGAAAGAAACCACCCTTGCACATGCGTGTGCCAACGTCAGGGCGCTAACATACTGCGACCTCCATGTCATCAAGAGAGAGGCCCTGCTCAAGGTTTTGGAGTTTTACACAGCCTTCGCCAACTCCTTCTCCCGTAACCTCATCCTCACCTGCAACCTGCGCAAGCGGGTAAGACACCCAGTTTCCTGGAGACAGCACCCACACCCATACAGCGGGGTTAAATTCTATTTAGATATCTGCATGAAGTCGTACCTACAGTCCTTAGCATCCTCACACCAGCATACCCGTGTTGATCCACAGAGCTGCAAACATTTCCACACATCCCGTGTTTATATTCAGTCTGGATTGCCATGTCTTTGTCAGCTGTCTTCTGTGTGAGAGGATTAAATGCTTAAAGAGTTATCAGGCTTCTCTCAGGCCCTTTTCTGTGTTAGCCCACATACACAGTTAGAGCTGTGTTAGCCCACATACACAGTTAGAGCTCTGTTAGCCCACATTCACAGTTAGTTAGAGCTGTGTTAGCCCACATACACAGGTAGTTAGAGCTCTGTTAGCCCATATACACAGTTAGTTAAAGCTCTGTTAGCCCACATACACAGTTAGTTAGAGCTGTGTTAGCCCACATACACAGTTAGAGCTGTGTTAGCCCACATACACAGTTAGACAGTTAGTTAGAGCTCTGTTAGACAGTTAGTTAGAGCTCTGTTAGCCCGCATACACAGTTAGAGCTGTGTTAGCCCACATTCACAGTCAGAGCTCTGTTAGCCCACATACACAGTAACAGAACAAAAGATTTTATACAAATCACTCAGTACTGTGGTGTGTAGGTAGATCTCTTATCCTTTCACAAAGCTCTTCATGGACCAATGGTCTCTGGCAGTCAGTGTGTTATGACCTCTCTATGTAGAAAACCCATAGGTATTCCACAAAAATGCAGGCTGCATCTCTTGGCAATGCTTTCTCCCCGTGTTCACGATCAGGGAAAAGTCACAATACACAAGAGAGGGAGCCCTCAATATGCAGGGGATTCCCTAAACACCAATACACAACCCAAACATAAACTGACACTTTACTAGTTATCACCAATATAGCAGGAAGGGAGGATCTGATGAGGTTTCTGCTACTTTAAAAAGCAGATTTTAGTTTCAATTAAAAAAAACTGCTGTAAGCAGTGACAGACTAATCAATCACACTGCTTTAAAAACATTTCTAAATTATATAAAAATGCTACTACATTATATCTGACTAATGCTTCTTTGCTCTCTCTCATCATATTCAGTCTATTGCATCCAATGTTCCTGAAGGTACATCTAAAGCTCATGAAAAGAAAAAGAAAGATCAACGCAAGTCAAGAGTCAAGAGACAAGTAAGTAGGGCACAAAGTCATAATGAACGGTTAATAAAAAGAGGATGAAAATGGACATGTTTATCTGAGACAGACTAATGAATAGAATATGTAAAAGGGAGAACAGAAAGAGTGAGCAGCAGGAGCAGATTATTATTATTCATGAACAGTGGAGAATCTGGACACAAACAAACAACAAATGTCAGTTTAGTTAACAACTGACTCCCAGTCAACTGAGGAACTACACAAACATTAAGTACTAACAACGCTGCTCTCTAAATGGTTACAAAATCTGATAATAGCAGGTCGAAGGGAGGCAAAATAAAATTAAATTACAGGGCAGGTTCGGCTACAGTTATAGCTGTTAAAAAAAAAAGGTGCGGGTGGCAGCTCATGACAGAGATGAATCTTCAGCCAACTTGTGAAATTGATATATGCTGACCGTTTAACCCTGTCATTTGACAACACTCACCCAAATTCTGAAGGTGTTTCTTGAATCTCATAAACTCTTGGCATTGAATCAAAAATAAAACACTCTAGTTCAAGAAAAATATTATTTTTGACAGTTTCTCAGGTAAGACAATTTATTTTCTGTTCAGTAAAGATGGTGATCATAATAATTAACTGGGAGGAAAATAAGTTATAGCAGATCATTTAAGTGTTTGTTTACTGTTCTCCTGAATGAGTTTTCTGCTACATACATGAACGTGTCCTGTACAATGTAGCGATACTGTAGGTTTTATTTCTTTATGAAAACATTAGAAGTACACACATCCCGTACTCACCTTTACACTTCCCGTCTTCTGCTTTTCTCTTATAATGAGTTTGCCGTTGTTTACTTGCTCTTTAGTTGTTTTTCATGCTTTGTTATTCCCTCGGCTCAATACGTCTTTTTCTCAGCGTGCCTGGAACACAGTAAATAATAGACACAGTGCTGGCAGCCTCATTATGTCCGGTACCCTGACGTCCTAGCAGGCGCCCTCTGCTCTCAGCCGCAGTTTTCATATTGTGTATGTGTGTGTGTTTTTTAAATACTTTTAGGCTCTAATTTATTGACGCCTGTTTGTTTACAAAATGTGAAAATGTACATTCATATTAGGTAGTTGTTCCTTAATTTGCAGTTTTTATTTTAATCAGGTATTTTTACATGGTTATGCAGCACAATAGTATGTGTGGAAAATATGTTTACTCTGAAGTTGTTGTTGTCTCTCAGACGTGATTCAGGGTGGACGTTGACCTGCTCCATCGCTTCAGTAACAACGGATATTAATTGAAATATTGATTGCACTCTTCTAAAGGAAATTCTTTTAATGCAGGCAGCAGATATCTGTGCATGTCTGAAAGAAGTGATGGCTGTGTATCGAGCCCTGCACTTATAGCTACTCTCTGTGCACACAGGCTTAGTTTGGCTCCAGCTCCAGGTATCTGGTTACAGACTAGATGTTGCTTTGTCACTGTGTTTGGCCACTTCATGAAGTTGTTGTCCCAGGTGAAACCAAGCAATAACAATTTGAACTGGAAAACCTGGTCCTCAGACATAAATGCTTTATGTCTGCCCTGTTTGTCTGATGGGATTTAACCCAAACAATGTGTTCATTCACATAATAACTACAATAAAAACAGAGACAACATTTTGACATTTTCACATTTTTGCATCTTCATAACCTGCTGTGCACTGATTAAAACACTGTAGGTTATGAGAACAGTGGGATTAATAAACTGCTAGCGCACACATTGAATTGTCTCCATTTCTCTTGTAATTTGCTCCAAATATCATAGAACTTTCCAATGAATTCACACATTAAATGTGCCTAGAATAATTATATGCTGTCTAATTATTACAGGTTAGTTTCTCTAAAGAAGAGAAGCAGTTTTAACAGTAAGTGTAGAGAATGTGTGGCTGTGTTTCTGTTTTCATAAAAGAGCTGGTGGAATATTTTTGCCCGACTGAGATTCGATAGACTGGCTTCATCAGCTACTCACACAACTTTAGGTTAAGTTAAAAGATTTATTTTGGAAGGCAATACATCTCAGTTAAAGAGGATAAGTTGCTCATTTTTCATTGCATCCCCAGTGTGTAATTTGCTGATTACACGGCAGAGGTTCACACACAATTCTGCCAAGTGAAGCCTTAAAGTGGGTTAAAAAGTAAAGCTCCATTACGGTGAAATAGTTGTTTTTGGCTTAAACATAATCGCCCTTCATAACGTGTTGGCGACTCCACTTGATTCAAAAGAATGTGTTGTGATTCACAAAGATACCTTTAAACAAGCGCTATACAAGTTTAAGACCATTTACCGTTACCAGATGGATCTAATCTTTTGTTCTTACATAACTTCTCCATTTCTTGATCATATGCATTTAACATTAAACTCCGTACGCGTATCAAGACATTCACCGTAACATGCATCATGGTATTTGCCTCACGTTAACATTTTCAGGCCAACAGCTTACTGCAAATACATCTGCTGTTTAGCAATAACAAATTACCAAACTGTGTTGTAGAATATCCTTGTGTGATACAGTTTACTCCTGCTGTAATAGGTGCGACTTTAGCTTTCACAGTACACTGCTTCACTTACTCTAGTACTGGTTGAGTTACCCAACTTTTATATTTAAAATACAGTACACATGACTTTTCTTGCAGAATATGAAAACATACAATCTTATACCACGATCTGAGTAAGGAGCATTAAGTAGAAGCTGGAAGGTACGACAGAACTTTGTGTTTTTCACTCCGTGTCTCACATGAGCATTGTACTATATCTTTAAGGTTACTGATGTCTAGGAGCTCTTTGGTCACCGGGGTGTGTGACAGCTGCTAGAGTGCCACCGTGATGCAGATAAACTATTTGTAGCAAGAGCTTAGACGGGACCTGTGGGACCCGAGGAGACCACAATATGCAATATTGGATACTTGTGTGCATCCATAAGCGCTTCCCACCACATTCCCTCTTCAGCATGTTCTCAGTCTCACTGTCCGACTCATGATTTAATGTGAACCGCTTCCTTCCTTGCATCCTGACTTTCTTACTTGTTTCCCTCTATGCTGCAAAATGCTTGTTTGTATGTGAGAAAGAGCATTTAGTAATCATGTCTCCGTGCTGTTCAGGGCTCATCATGCCCACACAGTGCACCCTCATGTATCCTCAGGGCCCTGGCAGGCAGGCACACTGCGTTAAATAGAATTGGTATCTGTACAAGGTTTGTTTACATGTGTCACTTCCTCAGACACAACATTTTCAGTGCACACAGTTGTGCTTCTGTCATAGATGTAATTGGAAAGTGCAGCATGGAGAATCAGTTGTTTATGTCAGTCACACCGGTCCAGTCTAGACATTCAGCCAGAAGCTCAGTACTACTGAGTGATTTACAGCCAAGTCTGCAGTCTCACTCCCAAAGGATACATTAGGATGCAAAAAGGCCGAGTAGCAAAGCTAGGTAATAAATATTGGGTGTTATTTATAGTGGCTGCACTCCCTGAAGTTGGTCATTGGTCATTTCAAGTTTTTGATGGAAAAAATACTCAGACCATGAACAAATCAGTTGGTGATTGGACACTTCGCTGTGTTTCCTTGTTCCTTTAAACATCTGTAAACAAAAAGGCTGCTAACTTGTTTTTATGGCGACACTGTCTTTCTGTTTACATCGGCCAGAACATGAGTGGAAACCCTGGGGCAGCAATAGCAAAATATTATTCATCGTTTCCTGCCATTGTCATTTCATAAGCAAAACCAAAGAAGAAACCATGATCCATGAAAACAAACTTGTAAATAGACTTAACCTTACAGTATCTAGCGCTCTTCTATGCACTGACAGCACT